CCTGCTACGGAGGAAGTTATTGAGGCTTTTCCAAAAACAAAAATATCAAAAAAACAAGGTGGGTTAGTGTCTGCATGGATCGTTTTAATTTGCTGGATATTGAAAAGTGGTTGATGCAGTTGCAGTTGCAGTTATAGTAGTAGTACCATCACGACTTTCAGTTTGAACTCTGAAAGGACCACCGGATCCAGTCTGTAAAAATGAAGATATTACATTTTGTATAATTTGCATAGCATCAAAAGGCCCATTTTGAAGATTTCCAGGAGTAAAAGGATCATCAAGTTCATCATCGGTATCATGGCCACTTAAATTATGTTCCGCAAATTCTCTTGGATCATTATCATCTTCAATCTAATATTTTCAAGAAAAATAGTACAAATGTTTAGAACAAATATAATTAACTAGTATAGAAGAAAACTTCTGAGCTAAAACCGTTAGAATCCGATTCGAACGTTTTGTAAAGAATCGCGAAACGATAAGAAAATTAAGCCACCTCTTCCACGAATTCACGATTACAACGAGGGCAGGTTGGATAAGGAGCCATCAAAGGTTCTATCACTCTGCGACAAGAGTAACAATAATATTGTGGCCTTCTATTATTGTTTGAATTGTCATTAGTACCATTATTAGATTCAGAACTTTGTTCAGACATTTGTAAAATTATTTCTAAATATCAAGACAAAAAGTTGGTTGATAAAGGTTTTTTTTATTTATAATTTTAAGACTGATTGGTGGTGTTAATTATTTGTAAATTTTAAGAACAGATCAGCCAGAATTCGGAAAATTCACCTCTTCAAATATAAAATTATGACTAACAATAACATTATTAATAATTTTTCTTTGGAATTTCAACAAACTTGGACAGACGAACTAAAAATGAAAAGTGAAAGGTGAATGTCGTTAGATTGTTTCATTGTTATTATTAACAAGCTTGTAATTATTACAGTTATTATATTAATTAACATGATGTTTTTTAGAATTTTAAATTATGCAGAGAAATTATATTTGAATTGTCAAAAATTTACCAGAGAATATCCATTATTTGGGGTAAATTAAACGTTAATTAATAAATAATGTTAAATATTGTAATTATTATTAATTGACTAATTTATATATAAAAATTTATTTTTTATTTTTTTAGCTATTTATTACAATTTTTATTGTACTTTCATTTTTTCCAGCTTTATTTTCAGTATTTTTTATTATTATTTCTACAATTTTGAGCCTAATCTAAAAATCAACACGCTAACTGAAATCCAAAAAAATGCCATACAGGATAAAAAGAATATCGTAATCATGGTAA